GGGCAGCCGGTGCGTGTGAACCACCGACCTATCCATTCACCGCTTAGTGCTTCGCCACTGCCCACCAGCTCACTTTCTGAGGTTCCAGGTAAGCAAATTGCACCAGGCTTCGAAGTCGGAGGGGGATGAGCAAAATGCTGAGACTCCTGTCTCTGGTCTTGTTGCCAGTGAGCCCATCACACTCAGCGAGAGCCCTGGGCGCAGTGTCCACCTGCCCCACAGGCTACTCCAGGCTCTCTCAAGGAGGAACGCCGAGGTGGGTTGGCACTGCCAACCTTTGGAGCCGGGGTCAGGGCCTTCCTTATCTTGTACCACTGCGTTTGAAAAATCAAATAAGGTGGTGCCTTTCTCTTCATTTTTCAGAATGTCAATGGAAATCAAGCAAGATTAGGACATGAAAGAACAGAGAAAGCGCTTGGGGAAACGGAAGATGAATGTGTGTTAGTTCCACAAGTGTTCAACACGGGAAGAGTACGGGTGTCTGCCCGGCAGTCTAACGCACGAGGGGCTCCTCCCGACCTTCTGGAGGAAGACTTGTGAAACGGATTCCATTTCCTTCTCATTCCATTTGCCCACAAGCGTTTCGGAGCCTCTAAGTGTACTAAGCTCTTCGCTGCACACAAGGAAGTTTTTTCAAAAGGAAAGAAGATGACCCTGGTGTGCACCGCGAAGAGGCTTTTGCCCTACCAGGCAAATTCTGCTGTTCCAGTACCTCAGGTCCTGGGGGTAAAAAGCTTTTTACCGCATTCCATCTTGAAGGCAGAGTGGTTCTAAGCAGCGTCCTATTTCCCTAACACAGCATGCCTCTGTTTATGGAGAAAGTACTTCTGACATGAACAGATAACTCGGGAGTCCTGGAGTCCTGTCAGTCCTTGAATCAAGAGAAATCCAAGCGTAAGCAGACAAATGGTGAAAACAAACTAGAGTCACCCAACAGCCAGGTTCTGTGGGTTTCAAGCAAGAATGTTTGCTCAAAGTTTATTCAATCTGCTGGCAGGGCAAAAGCTTCACAGCAGAAAACAAGTTCGCCACACTGAAAGCACGGCATAAGAAAGTGTCCATATGACGTCCAATGAGGGAAACATCCATTGTAAATCTCAATATAAATGCCGAGTGCTCCTGGAGCAAGTTTTTTTCTCTACATCTCAATGAAGAGATGTTTTATTTTTTTAAATACTGAATGCCTCTTTTTCTAGGGGAGCCGATTGAGAATACCCCCAGTAGACTGATGGGAAGAAAGAAGCCCCGTTATTCAGCCAGTGAGGTCATCATCAGAGGGAGGTAGGCAATACATGAGGAAAGATGTGCGTCTACTGGCTTCAGAGATCTGAGGGTCACGTGGAACCAGGCGTGGCACAGAAGTGACAGAAACACAATGGAGTGATTCAGTTACTTAGTTGACACACACTGAGTAAGTGCCAACTGTGTGTCAGACATCCTGGAGAAGGCTGGGGAAGCTAGCGGCGGGGGGGACTGGAAAACTATCCTTATGAAGCTTACAATTTATACACG